ATTACAGAGGTACATAATGGGTCAGGGACTGGACCCCAAAGTTCTGATAGCTGAACTAGTTACAGTGGTAATGACTGTATGTGTGTTTATATCTGGCCATTGCTCTAACTCTTCCAAAGACCACGGTGGAGGGAAAAATCTGTGGTAACATTCATGACTTTAATGATAATTCTTGGTCATAAATTGTAAGAAATCAGTTTTTTTTTGTAGAAAATTGTTATTGGTAATTTTTTTTTCCGGTGAGAGATATTTCAGTAATTCGAGCAGTTATGTAGGCGAAATCTCACGTACTTTACTTACAGATGAAGTGGTGACGCTAGTGACGCTGGTGACGCTGGTGAGTTGGGGACGCTGGGGACGGGTGGTGACGCTAGTTGACCTGACCACAGTCAGTTTTCCCCTCGGCGGCAAAAAGTTTATTAGCTTCCCCCGATAGAGGACCTGTGCTCGGGGCGGCCAGGTTTGGGGGTGAGCTTCCTGATACTTCCAACAGTTATTATACTCTTTTGGTAGTAACATCTAAACAAACTCAGTCACCTGGATTTTGCACCTCTTTCACTTTGCCTCAAATCAATTAGGTTTAAACAGTTAAATACTGTTATGCAAATACTTTGACAATTAGATTTAAAATTTAAATGACATTATTTTATATACATTTTAGCAAGGTTCCCCCTCAAGGAAGGTTCCTTGATGTTGGTGGGGGGGCTCTTGATTTGGGGAAATTTGGATCTGTGCTCCAGTTCCCGAATTAAGCCTGAATGCCTTCCACATTCCCCCCCCTAGGCGCTGTATAATCCCTCCGGGTTTAGCGCTTCCCCCTTGATTATAATAATAATAATTTAGCAAGGTTACATTAGGTTGCTAGATCAGTTTTAATAAGAAATTAACAAAATGCCATACAAAAAAATGTATACTCACATATATGACTTCATGGTGAGGCAACGAATCTTCAGGTTTTCCGAAAAATTATTTAATATTAACACTAGAGCACTATTTTAGGCTCGAGTTCCTTGCTCTGGTTTTTAAGTTTTACGAGGCTTCTTGTGAGCATGAATAATCTTTACGTATATACTGAAGTACATACTTCTGTATTTGCAACTTGCTTGTGGCTGCTTTCCACATTCTCAGCAGTACTATTGTACGTTCTCATTAGTTTCATATATATTAACAATGTACCAATTTCTCTAGTTAGCTTTATCCGATGGATATTTTCCTGACACTAGCAGAACACTATCATCTAGATATAATAGTAATTTGCACTTAACACTATTTGACAATCATTTACATATCACTAAAAGAATAAGGGGCCCAAAATATTTCCATGTGGAACTACACATGTTATTCGCGAGGGTTCTGATTATGTGTTACTGACCTTGATTGTTTTTCCCGTTGTTCAGATAGACGGTAAACTAGTTTATTAAGCCTGTTACGATAGATTGTTGATTTATACATAATACACTATGCCAAATGCCTTTTCTATTCCATAGTGACCAACCCTGGTAACTATGCAGGATATTATTGTCATTAGGATATCTAACTTCTTGGTAATGCACGCAGTAATAATTTTAATTTATAAAGGGGTGGACGGGTAAACTAGTGGAAGGCCTCGGTCAGTTGACCATAAGCTCCAGTGGCAGGTTATCATATGACTGAGACCAGCGTCAGGAAGCAGTTGTCCTGTTTCCTGACGAATCCTGGTAATACGTTGCTTCCTCGAGGATTTGACAGGTGGTGCTCCGTACACTGAGAGGCTTATAGTTACTGACATCCGATCTAATATTTTTTTCATGAAAACACGTTTAACTCTTGCAGACTTGAGTCCATCTGGCACAGTGAAAGTGATGGATAATTTTATTGTGAGTTATGGTACTTTCAGTTCATTTGCAATATCTTTTTAGGAAAGTGACGAACTTTGTCATGTACTGTCCTTTTGGTTGGGCTCAACCTATTTAATTCCTTGAGTACAAATTCATAAAACGCACCTATTACCTTGAAACTGTTTGGGGTGATGCCTTTAGCTCTTTAATACGTTTAAAAACCATTTGAGTCTGTACTGAAGTTGCTCGATGCATCTGGTAGTTTACTGACAAATAATAATGCAACAGTTGTGAAGAATGAAACCGAACCATTGCCACTTTAGTTATTTCGACGTGTATATACTGCGTTACCAGACCACGGTACGGGCGGGGATTGAACTCGCGGTGCGTCGTAAAACTCCAGACCGACGCGTTACCAGTTTTAAAACCATGTTTGAGCGATGTTCTGATTTATGGCTATATTCGAGGACTTTAAAGTGTTGCCAGAGATTGCTAGGAGTGCTCCTAGAAGTTCTCCTAGGAGGGCACCTAGGAGGGGTCCTACGAGGGCTCCTAGGAGCGTCCCATTTTTATGCTTCCTAACTTTATTTTTAAGCCAGAGAAATTCATAAAGAGCCGCAAGATCCTGTCCATTTGCCCAGCTCACTGTTACTTAGAAATTTTAATCCCCCAATTGACTAGTTAAAAACTGAGAAAGTTGTAAGAAGCAAATTAATGCCTGAACAAAATGTAATTAAATCAAACTTTATGAACAGTATTACTGATTGTGACTGGAATATAAATTGAGGATTGTATAAACTTAGTTTATTCTTAATGCATAAAATTGGTGAGGGTCATAAGCTGTGCTGACAGATAATAACAATAATACCTGGAGTATACCTGGAGAGGGTTTAGGGGTCAACGTCCCCGCGGCCCGGTCTGTGACCAGACCTCGTGGTGGATCAGGGCCTGATCAACCAGGCTGCTACTGTTGGTCGCATACAAGTTGACGTACGAACCACAGCCCGGTTGGTCAGGTAGTGCCTGTCCAGTGCCTGCTTGAAGACAGCCAGGGGTCTATTAGTAATCCCCCTAATGTATGCTGAGAGGCAGTTGAACAGTCTAGGGCCCCTCACACTTACTGTGTTGTCTAATAATGCTTTCATTCAGTAATATAATTTTTTAGTTGTTAGCAAGTCGTTTGCCATGATGCAGGTGGAACGCTGATGATGCTAAGAATAGGAATTGCATCCCCTTTCCTTGGATCAAACTTGATTATTCCTATTTCCCAGGCACTGCACATGAGATTTTTTCCTTTTTTTTTTGCATAAGGTAAGGTGAGTCAGGTGCAGGGGTGTGAAGTCAGCAAGTGATGTCTGACTGCGACTTCAGAGACAATCATCATGATTGTAATAATTAGCTGTGTCTGTTAGAGAGTTACGATTATTTACTTAAGATGTTTAGATTTAAGATTTGTAAGGAAAATATGTAGAGAGATATATATTCTGATCTCATGTATGCTCAGCCCGCCTTCTTAATTACAAATATCATTTCACTGTTGTAAAGACAGTTGAATGGGAGACTGATGTAGGCATCTTACAGTGAAAAATCTGGCAATTATGTTTACCTCTCTGTCTGTTTCTGTTTAATCGGCACAAATTTTTGTCGCCGTTTCTTATAATTGTATTTTTTTCCCCATTGTGATATTTTTTATTGTTCTTTGTGGTATTATTGTTTTTTGTTACGATGAAATGATAATAGTTTTCTGAATGTCTTTATTTCTTGGTTTCTTTCCTTGCTTTCTTTCCCTGCTTTCTTTCTTTCCTTGCTTTTTTTCTTTCCTTGCTTTCTTTCTTTCCCGGCTAACGCGACGGTCTGGAGTTTTGAGACTGATCGCGGGTTCTATCCCCGCCCGTGGTATGGTTTAGATACATTCTAAGTGGACCAAATCTGCCGCCCAGTTTGTCGATTCTATATTCATTTCTTTTTCTGGGCTTAACAAAGTATCTTATCTAAGATTGATAATGAAGTCTTCAGCGCTGTGACACTCTAGGTGTTCTCCTTCCTCAGAATCTCAACTTTAATTGTTGTCTCGATGACATTTTAACTAAAACTAACCTATTGCATCAACTGTGACTCTCATTTTACTCTATCCCTCAGCTCTTCTAACCTCTACCAGACACACGCTCCTTCTTATACACTGTTGTGTGACTCATGCGTGTTTAGTGCTTGTTTTTCAGAATTAAAATAATCGTACTGGTAATCTGTTGTTCGTTCAGACTCCCACAGAGCATTACACTAATCCAGAAATTTGACACCCTTCATCTCATTGTGTTCCTTATACAGTAATGGTGAACATTTACAACAGCTGCACGGTGCCCCGTGGCCTGGTGACTAAACCTCTCGCTTCACATGGCGATTATTATTATTATAATCAAGGGGGAAGCGCTAAACCCGGAGGATTATACAGCGCCTGGGAGGGGGGATGTGGAAGGCATTCAGGCTTTTTATTATTATTATAATCAAGGGAGAAGCGCTAAACCCGGAGGATTATACAGCGCCTGGGGGGATGTGGAAGGCATTCAGGCTTAATTCGGGGAACTGGAGCACAGATCCAATTCCCTAAATCAAGAGCCCCTCACCAACATCAAGGAACCTTCCTTGAGGGGTTCACATGGCGAGTGTCTGGGTTTGATTCCTGGCAAGGGTGCAAACATTGGGAGGGTTTCCTTACACCGGTTGTCTATGTTCACCATCAGTAAAATGGGTACCTGGGTGTTAGTCGACTGGTGTGGGTCGCATCCTGGGACAAAACTGACTCGATATGCTCTGTATAACAAGCAGCTTTCTATATAGTATGTCATTGATGTCAGCTAGGCCTGTATACCTTGTGCATGTACTTGTAGAAATAAAGATATTATTATTATTATTATATTAATGCACACTCTCTTTATGATTTTTTAAATAAAATTGACCTATTGCTCAAGCTATGCTTACCATTTAACACAACTACCAGCACTTAGCTCCAAATTTTATTGTATACAACTAACGATATGTAATAATGTGGTAGAGCTTCACTGCGTGTTTTTCCACCTCTCTTAGAGAACTTATTCCTTCAGCTTGTAACCAACACTTTCTGCTGCTAGAGTTTTCTCCTTCCAATTTTTGATTGCTAGATAGGTTATCGTAGACTTGTTATTCTAGGATAGTAGCAGCCAGCTCGGGATAGAGCGTGACCAGCTCGTGGCAGAGCATGATCAGCTTGCGGCACAGCATGACCGGCTCGGGGCAGTGCATGAGCAGTTCGGGGCAAAAGGAGTGCAACTCGGGACAGAGCGTGACCAACTTGGGACAGAGCGTGACCAGCTGGGGACAGAGCGTGACCAGCTGGGGGCAGAGCGTGACCAGCTGGGGATAGAGCGTGACCAGCTTGGGGCAGAGCGCGTCCAGATTGTGACAGAGCGTGATCAGCTTGGGTCAGAGCGTGAACAGCTTGGGTCAGAGCGTGATCAGCTTGGGTCAGAGCGTGAACAGCTTGGGTCAGAGCGTGATCAGCTTGGGTCAGAACGTGATCAGCTCGCAGTAGAACGTGAGCACTTGGGAAAGAGCGCAAACAGCTCGCGGCAGAACGTGATCAGCTTGGGGTGGAGCGTCAACAGCTTGCAGCAGAGCGTGACCGGTTTGGGATAGAGCGTGACTATCTAGGAGAAGAACGTAAACAGCTTGCGGCAGAGCGTGAACAGCTCGATGCAGAGCGTGTCCAGCTCCAGGGAGAACGTGACCAGCTCGCGGCAGAACGCGACCAACTCGCGGCAGAGCGAAGAAGGAACTGTTAAGTACATACCTATGTCATGATCATGGTTGCAATCCAGATGCTGCGTGAACACTGGGGTGTTACCAGCAAGATATAATATTCATCAAGACCCTCCCAGACAGGATAATCGCGAAGAACAAACCCAGGATGTTAGGTTTCCAACGATTCATGTAAGACAGTTTACTCACAGAAGGATTGTAACGTCAGTCAGCTGTAGAATTGAGACACTTATGCAACATATGTGTGGCGAAACGTTTCCTGAATAAAGATTCCTGTATGTTGCATAAGTGTCTCAATTCTACAACTTGTCGGTTTTTTAAACCATTTATCACAACGTCAGTCAGCTGCAGCGGTGTGGACCCAGCAAGAGATGACACACAGACTTTTCCATGCCAAGGTGAGGGAATTTAAGGACGGGACAGCATGATAGTGATTTTCTTTGTATTTAACAAATCAAAATTGTAATTACACATTGCAAACTATGCTAAGAAATAAATCCTTAACTCAAAAAAAAAAAAATGCCAGTAGCTTATGTTTTTGGCCCTTAGGGCATTTTTTCTCCTCAGATGGCTGTTTGCCTGTAATATTTTTTCGTTGCTTTGGTTATCATTTACAGACAAATTCATTAAACATTTCCAATGATGATTTTCTTTTTTTTTTCTTTCATATGCCATTGATTAAAATTACCGTTTAACGATTAGATTACTTATTATGTTCCTGATTGGTATTATTATTGGTATTATTTGCTTAGCGCTTCTTTTTTGATTATAATAATAATAATTGGTATTATTTGTTAATGTTATTTTTCTGAGGATGATCATAAATTTTTTCTCATATATGCAACCTATACACATTACTTTTATACATGTAAGTTACCTTGAACGATTTTTTTCCCAATATAATAATGTTTAATAAATTTTTGCTTATATATAAATTGATAAATTTACAATTTGCTTTTTATTAAAACCTTTGTTTTTCTCTGATGTCTTTCCCCCGTTCTTCCCGCATATTAACAAAATTTTAACAGTGAAACTCTCAACATTGTGGAGAAATACTATTGTCATATGTTTACCATATCTGAGTAATTGAAATTTCTCATCGTTGAACTTCATATTGTTTTCTGCAGCCCACTGAAAGATGTGGTCATGCTATTCCTAGAGCCTACGAGGCTAGTGTTTCCTAGTCCTAGCTCCACACCATGGCTAGCATATGACAATAATATCAACTCTATGGCTTATTTCTCTATCACAATTGATCTAATATGACATAATAAACAATATTAACAACATAGAAACATGATGTACACTATAGAATGAATAAAATATGTCGTTACGTATGTGGAGTGGTGGTGGTGTTGCTGTTGTTGGGTTTATAAGGGCCACTGACAGCATAGGCCATATATATATAGTGTTGGTGGTGGCGGCGGTGTTGTCAGTGGCCCTATATACCTCAAACAACAACGAAGGAGCTACACTGTTAATGCTACACTTTATCGCTGGTTGGCACTATAGCCTTTATCAACTCCTGCTGCTTTAGTATCGTACATATCGCAGAATCACTGAAGAAGACGCATTCTCTCCTCTCTCTCGGCCCTTTACCAATGGGCTGCCTGGCACCAGGAACTTTCATTGGGCCCATGGTGGCTTATTTCTCAGTCCCAGTTAATAAACAAGCACCAAAGCAAGGGATTATTATGAGATGTTTTGGAATGCGAGAAGTAATGCTCACTCGACCAGTGGACCAGTGACAAGCAGAATGAGACGCGTAGTGGCGGCGTCCTGGGGCGGGTGGACACGTCCAATTACGGGATCAAGGTCCGATATCTGGAACAAAATTTCGCACAAAAAAACGGTCCTAAAACCAAAACATCCGATAACTGGAGCGTGCGAAAACCGGAGTTCCACTGTATTACTGTGTAATGTCATGGGATCATGAGAAAATAGCAACAAGAGTGCATAACTGGAAACTGAAAACTCAAATGAGTCAGAGGAATGTTAAGAAGTGTTTCTTCAGCCTTAGAGCTGTCAGGAAGTGGAACACTCTGGAGAGTGATGTAAAAGAAGCAGGTTCCATACACAGCTTTAAGGAGAAGAACGATAAAGCTCTTGAAGCTGGGAGAGTGTGGATCTAGCAGCGACCAGCAAAGAGGCAGGGCCAGGAGCCGTGAATCAAACCCTGGAACCACATATACATGAACACACACACACTGCATGAGTGTGTAAGCTGAAAGTAATCTGGAAAAAGGTTGCATGAGAAAGTCTCGAAGTTTATATTAAATCTTTAAAAATTATAATCAATTCAGGTGTTTTTGGAAATATTATTGAAGGAAATAGAGAACAGGGATCTTTTAGAGTGTTCTTGAATAGAGATACATAAGTCAAAGTCAAAATCAAAGTCAAATTTTATTTCTTTGCAAGAGTACGTTGAGATTATGTATTTACAATAATGAGTTGCAGCACAAAGGGAGCCTCTATCATGCCTAGGCATTATGGGCATACTTAATTTAATGGCTTACAGACTAGTTAACACTAAAGAAATTTATCATAGTTTAAGTTGTACAGTAGTTTCAATAATAAATAATGAAATTATATTATGGGAATATAACATTGCGTTTTGCTGATAGTTTACAGTATGAGAATGTTACATCTGGGTGTAGGGAAATATTGTTCTAGGTAGGTATTTATACTACTAACTATGTAGTATTAGTCAATGTATGAACTTGAGCGTCTAGTCTTGAAGTTTTAAAGACTTAGGCAATTGGGAGATTTTTTGGTAAAGCTAAATACAGAGTATTGAGTATTTAGTCTAGGGTGAGTAAGTGCCTTTTGAGAAGAGTCTTAAAATGATGTTCAGACCGGGTTTACTTTATTTTCTGGTAATGAATTTCCAAATTTTGCGGCTCTTTATGTTTACCTGGAGTTTACCTGGAGAGAGTTTCCGGGGGTAAACGCCCCCGAGGCCCGGTCTGTGACCAGCCTCCGGGGGGATCGACCCTGATAACCAGGCTGTTACGCTGGCGCACGCAACCCAACGTACGACCCACGACCGGCGGGTGGTACCGTTTTGGGTGCTTGTCCGGGCCCATTGAAGAGCCAGGGGTCTATTGGAACCCCCCCCTTATTATGCTGGGGGGCAGTTGAACATCTGGGGCCCCCCGCACTTTTTGTATTGCCTTAACGTGCTAGCGACATACCTGCTTTTCATTGGGGGAGTTGCTTCGCTCCCAAGTCTTTTGCTTCTTTGTGAGTGATTTTCGTTGAAAAGTTCGGTATAGTCCCTCTAGTTTTTTCCGGTGTTTTAAAATCAGTATCTTCCCGCCTCATTCCGGAATACAGGTTTGGGAAACCCCTCAAGGTCCCAGAAATTGGGGGTTTTTATCTCCTTATGTGCACGTAAAGGGTTCCTGTACTTTTTCTAGGTGGGCATTTAACTCCCTTGAAAGGTGCTTTTAGTGTGCAGAAATATTCCACCCTAGATAGAACAACAACCTGAAGAGTGCATCATGGGCTTGGCATCCCTGTTTTGAAGGTTCTCATTTCCATCCTTCATTTTCTGCAGCTCGATTGATACAGTGTTATGGTCCAAAGAAAGATAAATAAATTTCGTTCGGATTTTTAACCCCGGGGGGTTAGCCACCCGGATCCCAAGAAAGTCAGTGCGTCACGAGGACTGTCAAACTTATTTCCTTGGGGTCCCTTAATCTTGTCCCCCAGGTGCGCCCCACACCAGTCGACAAACACCCGGTCCTTTGTGCTAGGTGAACGGGAAAAAAACAGGGTAAGGAAACGTCAAATTTTTCCCCCCGCCGGGAATCGAACCCGGGCCCTCCTGTGGAAGCGAAGCTTTGCCCCAGGCCCCCCTTTGAAGGGGTCCTTGCATGTCACTCCCAGGTCTTTGACTTGGTTTTTCGCTCTATTTTGTGGCCGGAATTTTTTTTTGTACTCTGAAGAATTTTTAAATTTCCTCGTTTTTACCATATCGGATAATTGAAATTTTCATCGGTGAATTCTATTGTTTTTCACCCTTTGAAAGTTTTGGGTTGATGTCTCCTGGAGCCCTTGCAGTGTCGCAAGGAAAAACATGTCAGCAGATTCGGGTGTCATCTGCAAAGGAAGACACGGTTCTGTGGGTGAATCATTGTCTATGTCACATTAGGGTGAGAAACAAGATGGGGGCGAGTACTGTGCCTTATGGAACAGAGCTTTTCACCGTAGCCGCCTCAGACTTTACTCTGTTGACTACTACTCTTTGTGTTCTGTTTGTGAGGAAATTATAGATTCATCTACCAACTTTTCCTGTTTTTCCCTTTTAGCACGCATTTTGTGTGCTATTACGCCATGATCACACTTGTCGAAGGCTTTTGCAAAGTCTGTATATATTACATCTGCATTCTTTTTGTCTTCTAGTGCATTTAGGACCTTGTCGTAGTGATCCAATAGTTGAGACAGACAGGAGCGACCTGTTCTAAACCCATGTTGCCCTGGGTTGTGTAATTGATGGGTTTCTAGATGGGTGGCGATCTTGCTTCTTAGGACCCTTTCAAAGATTTTTATGATATGGGATGTTAGTGCTATCGGTCTGTAGTTCTTTGCTAATGCTTTACTGCCCCCTTTGTGGAGTGGGGCTATGTCTGTTGTTTTTAGTAACTGTGGGACGACCCCCGTGTCAATGCTCCCTCTCCATAGGATGGTAAAAGCTCGTGATAGGGGCTTTTTGCAGTTCTTGATGAACACGGAGTTCCATGAGTCTGGCCCTGGGGCAGAGTGCATGGGCATGTCATTTATCGCCTGTTCAAAGTCATTTGGTGTCAGGATAACATCAGATAGGCTTGTGTTAACCAAATTCTGTGGCTCTCTCATAAAAAAATCATTTTGATCATCGACTCTCAGTCTGGTTAGCGGCTTGCTAAAAACTGAGTCATATTGGGACTTTAGTAGCTCACTCATTTCCTTGCTGTCATCTGTGTAGGACCCATTTTGTTTAAGTAGGGGCCCAATACTGGACGTTGTTCTCGACTTTGATTTGGCATAGGAAAAGAAATACTTTGGGTTTCTTTCGATTTCATTTATGGCTTTTAGTTCTTCCCGCGATTCCTGACTCCTATAAGATTCCTTTAGATTAAGTTCGATGTTTGCTATTTCTCTGACCAGTGACTCCCTACGCATTTCAGATATATTGGCCTCTTTTAGCCGCTCTGTTATTCTTTTCCGTCGCCTGTAAAGGGAGCGCCTGTCTCTTTCTATTTTACATTTACTCCTCCTTTTTCTTAAAGGAATAAGCCTTGAGCATACATCGAGTGCCACCGAGTTAATCTGTTCTAGGCATAAGTTGGGGTCTGTGTTGCTTAGTCTATCTTCCCAGCTGATATCGGTTAGGACTTGGTTTACTTGGTCCCACTTTATGTTCTTGTTATTGAAGTTGAATTTGGTGAAGGCTCCTTCGTGACTAATCTCATTATGTCGGTCTGGGGCTCCGCGCATACATGTCTGAACCTCGATTTTGTTGTGATCTGAGTATATTGTTCTTGATATGGTGACATTTCGTATCAGATCATTATTGTTAGTGAAGATGAGGTCTAGTGTATTTTCCAGTCTAGTAGGCTATATTATTTGCTTGTTTAAGTTGAATTTTGTGCAGAGATTTAAAAGCTCGTGTGAGTGTGAGTTCTCGTCAGAGTTGCCTCCTGGTGTTATCACTGCAACAACATTATTTGCTATATTCCTCCATTTTAGGTGCCTTAAGTTGAAATCCCCCAGGAGCAAGATGTTGGGGGCAGGAACTGGCAGATTTTCAAGACAGTGGTCAATTTTTAACAGCTGTTCCTGGAATTGCTGGGACGTTGCATCCGGAGGCTTGTAGACTACCACAATGACTAGGTTTTGGTTCTCGATCTTTACTGTTAAAAC